CGTCGGGCCCCTGACGGGATTCGAACCCACGATCTTACGGTTGCGAGGCCGAGAGCCTAACCACTAGGCCACCGACGCCACAATAGTAATGATTAGGAAAGAAAAAGCAGCAGTTCCCTGTTGTAGTTCAGGCACAGTCATGAGCATGACATTGTAGGATCAGCCCATTTACAATTCTACTGTGCATTGGCATTAGAACGAAAAATGTCCCCCCTTTGAGAATACATTGTAGCCTTAAGATACTTCAGTCAGTAGCACCGCCCCAGGGGGGGGGGGTGTCTTACAAGTTTTGTAACTTTTGACGGTAAGAGGTCAAACCTATGTTACTGTAATTACCAGCGTACATGATATTGATAGTGTAATGGTTAGGCTCTTTGCTGTTGAGCACAGAAAACATGAGTTCAAATCCTATACGAGAAAGTATTGTTGTATTAATATCTCGTGCAATAAATAATAAATATATATATTCAGATCTCTGTCTGTCTGCTGGGGTACTGAAACACATTCAGCCTGGTTTGGATTTTCTTTCGGTTTAGACCGTTTAGTTGGATTTTCTGTTTCGACTAAATTCTATGGTTTCTAAAATTGCAATGATGATTGCCCAGTCGGGAATGTCAGGCCAGCGACAAATCTCACCTCCTACCAACATGTATTTCAGTAGCTAGCTGCAATTTGAGATGCAGGCTGTATGATGTACATGTACCAGGGCTTTGTTCTTTCTCTTTGACATAATTATTATATCGGTATTTTCAGCTTGCTTAATTTTTTAAAGTTAGTTTTAGTTAGAGTTTAGTTTTTAGTTTAGTTTTAGTAGAGGTTTTACGGCGCTGGCAACTGCATAATGTCATATGAGCGCCAGAAGATTAGATGTGTTACAAGAGAGTAACAAACATAAAAAAGAAGAAGGGGAGATAAGGATGATAGATGTTCGATAAGAAAGAAGGAGCAAACCACACCAGAGCACCCGCCAATTACCCACTTGCTTAATTTGCCGAACATTCACACAGAACACCAAAAGAGTAAAGACATAAAGAAGTAAGAAAGCCCAGTGCCAGTCATGTAACGAAACACACAATACGCCGTCGCCATGTGCTCATGTGTTTTTAGTTTTAGTAAGAGTTTTATGGCACTTGCAACACAATAAGGTAATATAAGTGCCGAAGATTAGAGGTGTTACAAGGGAGTTTTAGTTTTAGTAGAGGTTTTACGGCGCTCGCAACTGCCTAAGGTCATATAAGTGCCACAGATTAGAAGTGTTACAAGTGAGTTACAAACACAAAATAGAAGGAGGGGAGATAAAGACGATAGATGTTTGACAGGAAAGAAGGAGCAAACCACACCAGAGCACCCGCCAACCAACCACTAAGCACACTCCACTACCTGTCTTACAGTCAGAGAAGTATCAAAAGAAAACAATATTCTCCTAATGCCAATGAACATAGCTAACCAACACTAACACTTACAGCAAAAGCAACAAAATCAACAACCACAGAGATATTTCCTTTAGAAAGAAAATGTCCATTTATTCCTTTAAAAAAAATTACAACATACAAGAGAGAATAAATTATATAACAATACATGAACACAACTGAGTTGGCTGACAGTGATGAAATTATGGCATTGGTGCTTGTGTACTCATCTATACACACACACACACACACGCACACAAAGCAGCCATGGCAACTTTTAGAATGTGTTGTCTGAAGTCTGATGATAAGCAGGACGTGTCCTGGCAAAAAAAGGAACTGTGACTGGCTGCTCTAGAGGGACAAGGAAGCTGTAACTGTCCACTCACAAACAATATATAATGTGAGGCAGCGTGGAGGAATCAGGCTCTCGTCAAAATAATGAAATTGAAGAAAACACAGTTTTCTCCCTGCTTAGCAATTTTTATCAAATTTTTGTTTTTTGGCTCAACACCTTTTATGTCCATTTACAAACACATTCTCCTCATGCCAATGAACATAGCTAACTAACACTACAGCAGAAGCAACAAAATCAACAACCACAGATATTTCCTTTAGAAAGAAAATGTCCATTTATTCCTTTAAAAAGAATTATCTTCTTTTTAAATTCAACATACAACCAGAGAGAATAAATGATATAACAATACATGAACACAACTGAGTTGGTCGACATTGATGAAATTATGGCATCGATGCTGGTGTACTCATCTATACTACCCCCTACCCCCCCACACACAAACACACACACAAAGCAGCCATGGCAACTTTTAGAATGTGTTGTCTGATGATAAGCAGGACGCGTCCTGGCAAAAAAACGATCTGTGACTGGCTGCTCTAGAGGAAACATGGAAGCTCTAACCGTCCACTCACACACAATATACAGTGGAACTCGGATTCAACGAGGTGGCCGGGCCTGACTTAAAATCACGTTGAATCCAAGTGTTCGTTATAGCAAACACGAGGTTTTGTGTAGATAATTAAAGGCTCTGAGCAAGTAATGTGTAAAGAGAAGTCAGAAGTGGTGCCTAAAATGCCTGCATATTATGAGTTGCGTAAAAAAAAAAGACTGATTCTTTCAAATACACGCCTGTGTCATCTTGATTGTTTCCCAAAAAGTTGTGTTGCTGTGTAGAGCCAAGACTAGCATACGGCAACTTTTGATTCCATAGACCAGCGCACAATTCATTATGTAAATCTACGTCAAGACTAGCGAATCATTGTAATAACGATCAGTTGCCGAGGGGAAAAAAAAGACTGTGGCGCATTTGCATCTTCGACGTTCAACGCCAGAACCACTATTTTTATTGATTTTAAAGAAAAAAAAAAAAAAAGGGGAATCTATCTCATCTTGTTGAATCCGAGTTCCACTGTATATCCACTTACGCACATTCGCACACAATATCCCGTAACACTCACACACATGCTCTTCTGCACACCCAAACACACACCATGTATCACTGAAATCATTCTACAGGCAATACACCAATACACTACACACAGGAAAATTCAACACATCAAAAGATTTTTCCTACACGTTAACAACATACGTTTTTACATGAGAAAAGGGTGAGAATATCCTACTAAAGTCATGACAATTCCCAAAGATCCAATTTCAATAAAACCAGAAAGAGTGACACAACCATTGTGGCAAAGCACTTATCTTAACTCTATTCGTACGCCCTGGGGTCATTTTGTACCCCCCGGGGTTGTATTCTTCACATTTTAGAATACTTCTAGTGCTAGTGCCAAGATCTCTTTGAAACTTTCAGTATTTCTCAAAAAATCATTTTGACAGACTGCTATGCAAAGCGTAGGCTACTGATGGGATTAACGAGTAAATTTCCTCTTTAGAAAGTGGTGGCAGAGTTCCCCACGTCGAATGGATATGATAGTAAAACACGACGTACGGATAGGGTTAAGCAAGTTTAAACAAGCTTGCTAAATACCAGCAAAAATCAGCAGTCAATCTGAACGAATATCGCCCGCCACCCGAGCACCCAATGGGGGTTCCTACAACAGCTGATGGGATCGGCTGTCCGCCGAGCTCATGACGGAACAACTCTGCGCGACGACAGATAACACCAGGCCTAAGGTGTACCTCCTGCTCCTCCGATCCGAAGCATTACGCAGCACTGGAGCGTCTTCCGCCAGTACTCCCCCCAAAAAACCACACGATCAGCTCTTCAGAGTGAGGCCTCCCTCCATCATCGACCACACAAGTCTTTTGATGCGCCGAGCCCTTTGCTCGTCTTGTATCGTATCCGTCCCTTGTCCTCCACCTAAGAAGCGTTTTCTCCTCCGCTCGCTGTGGCTATGTCGGGGCTGTGTTTCTGCTAGAGGGAAGAGGCAAATGTAAAGACAGAGTGAGTCTTGAGCAAACTAGACAGTTCTTTTTTTTTTCTTTTCCTTTTTTTTTTTAGGTAAGAGTTTTACTGCAATTGCAACACAATAAGGACATATAAGTGCTGAAGATTAGAGGTGTTACAAGAGAGTAACAGACATAAAAAAGAAGGAGGAGAGATAAGGACGGCAGATGTTTGATAGAAAAGAAGGAGCAAACCCCACCAGAGTACCCGCCAACCACTCACCAAGACAGTTCAAAGGTCAAGAAAAGAGCAGAGACCTTTTCCGTTTGTTCGTTTGAGCAAAGAGAAGCACATTGACACAACAACGGTCATTTAGTGCTGGGAGAAAGTAAGTAAGGCACGCAGACAGACACAACAGAGGGAAAGTAAAGAAGTAGGACCTACCAGTGGCGCTCTTCAACCCTTTTCTGTGACAAATTCCGATGATGGCATGTATTTTACACTCAGATCAATACAAGTGAGGTCACATATAAGAAACAGGCTGCTCAAATAACGCTTGTCAAGGCCAACCTTGGCTGCATGGGATACAGTATCCCAGCAGGAAGACAGAGAAACTCAATAAACAACACCCATGCGCTTTTTTTTTTTTGACATGCATTTTCAGAAAATAAAAGACAACATAAATTATCTGAACACAAACACAATAGTACACTTGTACCTGCTCCAATAGCCACTTGTCCAAGATCATCATCAGGTGTACAAACGAACATCCCCCCCCCCCTCTATTTTAAAACTATCATACTGACATTGTACCATTGTACAAGGCGCCCACCTGCAAATAGCTCACAAAAGATTTTAGGTGTTGCTTGGGTGTACCAAACACGAAAAAGAAGGAAAAATAAGCCTGATAAGGACAATATGTTTGATAAGGGAAAAAAATATGTAAAAAGCAAAGCGTACCAGAGCACCCGCCAATCACCCACCTTAGAAACTTGGTTGCAATCAACTTTTTCTACTGACTTTGGATCAGAGAAAGAGTTACCTTCTTCTTTTTCTTGTCCTTCTTTTTCTTTTTCTTCGGATCCTTCTGTTCATCCTCCTTCTTCGGTCTCTTGGCCTTTTTAGGTTCGGTTTCACCTGTAGCGTTGTCAGCTGGGAAGAGAGTTATCAGCCATAACAATAAATTTACCCATTCACTTTACTACTTGTATTCTAATGGGAGTCTCTTGCTTTCCCCTCCAAAAATAAAGACTGAAAAGCTGGAACAGGTATCTATCTTTGACTCGAGGGATCGATATAATATGCATTAACGCTTTGCCCCTAAGGCTTTTTTTTTTCTAGTAAAGATTTTACGGCGCTCGCAACAGCATATGGTCATATGAGCGCCAGAAGATTATAGGTGTTACAAGAGAGTAACAAACATAAAAAAAGAAGGAGGGGGAGATAAGGACGATAGATGTTTGATAGGAAAGAAGGAGCAAACCACACCAGAGCACCCGCCAACCACCCACTTCCCCCACGCCCCTAAGGCTGCCTAAACCCAATCTTGGAGAAAAACTCCAGAGGAAAATAGAGTCAAAATCTCCAGTCACACACACATCATATCTTGCAGGAGATAAAAAGTTTGGAAAAAAATCATAATGAGTCATTTTGTGCTACAGAAAAAAAAACAACACATGAAATGAATCAAGAAACTGGAGACTGAAACAACAGAGGGACAGTACAAAACGGGAGTGTAGCTAGTGGTGTCTCTCTGACAAATTACAGGCACTGAGCAAGTAATAGTCATGTATAAGAGAAGTCATAAGTAGTGCCTGAAATGCCTACATATTATGAGCTGTGTAAAAAAAAAAATATATAAAAAAAGACAGATTCGTTCAAATACACATGCCTGTGTCATCTCGATTGTTTACCAAAAAGTTGTGTTGCTGTGTAGAGCCTAGCAAATTTTGATTCCATAGACCTGCGCACAATTCAGTACGTAGATCTACGTCAAGACTAGCTTATTTTTGTACTAATGATCAGTTGCCGGGGGGGGGGAGACTATGACGCGTTTGTATGCGACATTCAACGCCCGGACCGCCAGTGCTACCTCTCCCCTCCCCGACATGAACACACAGCCACATGTGTGCAGGCCGCCCATCCGACCACAACACACGCCAGAGTAGACACGTGCGCGTGCCAACAACACAAGTGTTGGTACTTTAAAAGGCCGCTGACTGGTCGCAAGCAATCGGGTAAGTGAATAACGGTTCACGATGCAGGTGCAATAGATAGTTTCCAGGAATAGATAAAGTTCATTCTGAGAGAAAAATTAGCAAAGCCACGTCTGCGGGGGCTGTTCACCCTGGAAGCGACCTCGTTGAATTCGAACTCGCTGATTTAAGTGCTCGTTGAATCCGGGTTACTTTTATTGATTTTAAAGAAGAAAAAAAACCCGGAGAATCTATCTCATCTCCCCGAGTTCTCGTTGAATCCGAGCTTGTTAAATCCGAGTTCCACTGTAATGACTCTGCCCCAGACACCTACAAGAGGCCTGAGAAAAGATCAAACTTCACTCACTTTGCGCAAGCTGCAGGGCACTTCCTTTCTCAGCGTCCTTGACCTTCTTCTTGTGCTTCTTTTTCTTCTGCGTCATCTGGTTCATGATCTGGTACTGCTCTGGGAGCTACAGGTTGTCCAGGCACGGAGAGATAAGATAGATAAGGAAGATAAAAGTGGGAGTTGGTTAGAGCCAAAGTGGTGAGAATTTAAAGGGAGACTCTGAGAAACAGCAGCCACATTACACCAGAAAGTATTATATTATATAATTATACCAGGAGTGCAGTGCTGAAAGGAACAAGGAGCAGACCACACAGAGGAGGGAGGGTAGGCAAAGAGGGAGAGAGGGAGAGGGAGAGGGAGAGAGAGAGAGAGAGAGAGAGAGAGAGAGAGAGAGAGAGAGAGAGAGAGAGAAGTTGAGGACGTGTGTAAATATGTGTGTGTGTGTGTGTGTGTGTGCGCGTGTGTAAGGGGAGAGGGGTGTGTGGGAAGGGAACATCACATATAAATGCACAGAACTGTGGTTCTCCACTGCAGACATCTGACAGTTTAATACATCAATTACAGTAAAAATGAAAGCACTGTCGAGCATGACACCGTCCCGTATGAAAATTTTAAAAATAAAACTTGTATTGTAAAGCGCCCACAGCCTGTGTATTTTAATTAGGGTTGAGCGCTATATAAATGTCATTTATTATTATTACTATTAAACATTCAATGAAGCTACCTTCAACCATCTTTTTGTGTTCTAGTTTTTCTGCGACCCAAGCATCGTCTTTTCAGGTAATCAATGACTAACAACATCACGAAGAAAGCAGACGGATGATCCCGAGACCAGGGAAAGGACCACAATGTAAATTGCTATGGGTTCTTGAGCAAGAACAATTTTTAATCCACATCACAAGCTCATGGTCAATGTTGTCAGCATGTCAATATAAGAATCAAATAAACCGCCTCGACTTGTTATGCGTATAGGACACAAACCACTGTTCACCCCCCCCCCCCCCCCCCCCCACCAGGGCAGTGCTACTGACGGAAGTTGTCCTTAGGCCAATCCCAAAAGTGGGATATTAACATGTTCTTATGCACAGTAGAATTGTAAATAGGCTGATTTATCAATGTCTTGCTCATACTGTGCCAGAACCAATAGGGGGAGCTGCTGCTTTTGGCCTTTTCTTTCCTCATCCTTACTTTCCTCATTTTCCTCTACTTCTTTTGTATGTTTGTCATTCTCTTGTGAACTGCTATTTCCGGGGTGCCTTGATAGTCAAAGCAGGCTCTGTCCTGTTGAGGCTAGCGAGGTGAGCAGAGTTAGCCTGATTCCCCGTTTGGACTTCTCTGTTAACATCCACCCCTTGGCGCTCATACGACCTTATGCAGTTGCGAGCGCCGTAAAACCTTACTAAAAACAAAACTAAAACCACTGTCCCATAAGGCTTGTGTGCTTTTAATTTTTAATAAGAGTTTTATTGCACTTCCAGGACAATAAGGTTATATGCTAGTGCCGAGGATTAGAGGTGTTACAAACACAAAAAATGGTAGAGAGATTAGGATGACTGAGTCGTTTGACAGGAAAGAAGGAGCAAACCACACCAGAGCACCCACCAACCACCCATGACATGTGTACGCGTGTGTCTAACCTGTAATACTATCGACATCCCAACACCTCATCTATCAGCCCACTAACCCCACCATCATGAAACAAACACAAGCAAAAACTCACAGGTCCAGGGTGCAGCCGAAATCCTGACAACGCCGAGCCAGAAAGTTGCGTCAACTCTTTCCCTGTGCTGGGGACTTTCTCAATGAGCGACCTCAGGGAACTGTGGGAAGACACGTGGGAAAGAACTGCTTCACAAGACAATTGACAGAGAGAACAGTCAACCTGGCATCACCTTTAGAAACAAACTTACAAACTGGCATTCTGGTGCCACGAACTCTAATTTTCATTTTGTAGGCATCAATATCATTTGTAGATTTTTTTTAAAAATTGGGCCTCTTTGCCAATCTAAGGGGATTAAATATTCATGAAAAAAATAGAAGGTAATTGAATAGGCTACTGGTGACACACACTAAAATAACTCAGTGATGCCTGGATTATGTAATATTCCAACTCTTTCTTTCTCTCCCAAAATCCCTATTCAAACAATATCAAAAGTGCATTATAATTATACTTATTGCTTGCAACACATTCTTTAATCATAATAACAAACACATTCACCAGAGATAGTATCATACTCCCAGCTGATGATGGAGACAATCAGCCTGCCCACTCTGAAATGGATCCTCATGAAGACGGGTGAGGAAGCATGGAGCACCCCGTCTTCCTCAGACCCCAGTTCTACATCCAAGTATCATACTCATCTCCACCAGCTTTTGCCTACCAAAGACACCATGTGTTCCTGCCACAGATTTGGACAAAAGAACTGAGCTGGCATTTATTCACCAACCTGTTGTCCTGGATTCCAGGCGAGTCGATGTTTCCTGGCAGGTGCGGCAAGAACGCACTCAGCTCCTCCTTCACCTTCTTGTTGATGAATCTGTTGTAGGAATGTTCTAGATTGTAGTAGTTGAGCAGATTTGTACTGCCGGTGATGTCGGCTTCATCTTGATACAGGAAAGAAAAACAACAAAAGAACCCAATAATCAGAACCAAGAGTCAAAAGAAACACTTCTTGCATGTAACACTTTGATCGAAAAGAATAGAAGTTGAAGTAAATAGCATTGTGGAATAAAGACACAACAAAATGAGTCCACATAATTATAATTGAACGAAGGCAAAGAATAGTACAAATGTTTTAGTAGAGGTTTATTTTATTTTAATTTTATTATAGTAGAGTGTTTTACGGCGCTCGCAACTGCATAAGGTTATATGAGCGCCAAGGGGTGGGTGTCAACAGAGAAGTCTTTACAGGGAATCAGACTTACTCTGCTCACCTCTCTGGCTTCAACAGCACAAGGTCTGCATCAACTATCAAGGCACCCGGAAATAGCAGGTCACAAGAGTGTGACAAACATATAAAAGAAGTAGAGGAAAACGACAATAGTAAGGATTAGGAAAGAAAAAGCAGCAGTTCCCTGTAGTAGATCAGGCACAGTTATGAGCGTGACATGAATCAGCCCATTTACAATCTACTGTGCTTGAACGAGAAATGTCCCCCCTTTGGGAATGGCCCTAAGATACTACAGTCAGTGGCACTGCCCCGGGGGGGTTAGTAGAGGTTTTACGGTGCTCGCAACTGCATAAGGTCATGAGCAACAGAAGTTTAGAGGTGTTTAAACAAGAGAATAACAAACATAAAAAAGAAGGGGAGATAAGGACGATAGATGTTTGATAGGAAAGAAAAGCAAACCACACCACAGCACCCGCCAACCACCCATGGACAGTACAAAAATTGTTTGTATTTAAAAATATATATAATTCTACTCTACAAAAGTGAAACTAAACATAATAAAAACTTATAAGCAGATTCATGTTCAAGCGTTCTGCAGCCAAAAATATGGCGGTTTAGCCCCTAAACTAAAACTTCACAGCAGTGCATCTGTGGATGGGAGTGATACAGAAAATTTATTATTAGTTTTTTAAAAATAAAATGTAAGTGTCAATTGCCACCGAGTGACACGGTGACATGAACTTCTGCTTATGCACGCCTCTCTGTCCCTCTGTGTGAGTGTGCGTGTGTGGGTCTCTCTCTATGCTTATCCCTAACCCCCGTATTTATGTTCCCAGAATATTAATTTCCGTTTGAGTGTGTGCGTTCGTGGCCTACTTCTAGAATCGCCTGTGTTGGTTAAACACTGAAGCGTAGGCTTACGTCTCACTCAAAACATGCCAAGTTGGTAGCTCTAGATGTTCGTCCAATGAAATTAGTAGAGAACAAATTGACCCACTTAGAACATTATAGGTGTATCACTTTTAAAGCCAGGCTTGTTCAGTTGTCTTACTATCGGTGAATAAAATGCAGAGCTAGATACCTTGAATAGGATCCTGGAGAGGAGGGAGGAGCAGTTTATGGTATTACAGCTTGCAATAATCTCTTTTCCAAGCATATAACCAAGGTCTGATTATAGGAGTTTGCACAGTGCACACACAACACGATAGCCTACAGCCGACTTCTGAGAACCGTGGAGTGTACGTAGACACTCCGTGTGTAAAAAAGTAAAAGTTTACCTGTAGATCTAGATCTAGAGTAGTGCAGCAATCAAACATTGTCATTATAATAAAACTCAATTCAATAAATCAGCAGTATTTTGTATCATACAGCGTAAAACGTAAGGAAGTGGCTATCCTCACCCGGGGTGAGAATAAAAATACGATTGATCTCTCGCACCGGGTGAGACTTGCCACCGTTGGCTATTCTCACCCGGTGTGAAACAAGACCTGTTTTTCCTAATTTTGAAATACTTTCTATCGGTGTGGATGATCAAATGGATAAAAGCAAAGAAAAAATTACATAGCACAAAGACAAAAGTAAGCTAATTTGATCGTCCACAAAGATGCTCTATGGCTATTTCACTTTTCGAATCGAGCCGAACTTCGTGGGTCGCCATTTTGTTTTGCCTGGAAGTTCTCGCAAGATCTATTCCTCCCCTCTTCTCTCTCTCTCTTTCTGATTACTGTCTATCGGTGTGGACGATCAAATTGACCAAAATAAAGTTTAAAAATGATGTTAAAACACAAAAAAGTAAATTAATTTGGTCGTCTACAAAGATGCTACGGCACGGCTTTTCAAAAATCGAGCCGAACTATGTGGGTTGCCATTTTGTTTTGCCCGGAAGTTCTCGCACTACTCCTCTCTCTCTCTCTCCACTCAACTGCCCTCAGACAAAATTGTACGTTTAGGCTAACAGTGTAGTAGTGTAGTAATGGAACGTACAACTTTGGCTACAAGCTCACCGCACAGAATTCTACAATTTTTCTGTTATCATAGTGTAGAATTCTGTGGTTCAAGGTGAACGCAAAATTGGTTGGCCTAGATCTAAGCTATAACGGTGAACGCCCACCGGGTGAGAATAGCCAAAAGACTCGCCTGCGCATAAGAGGTGGCCAACATGTAAACAAACAACCACCGGCCTACCTGGAATGTCTTTCACGAGGTAAAAAGACCCAGTATGAATGACAGATGGTTGTTTCCCTGGTACCAAACTTATCGTCGTTTTTAAAGTTCCAGACGAATCTTGTCTTGGATATGCAGGGGACCGCGATCCACGATCGCGCGGGCTTGACCGCGGAGACGACTGCATCGGCTCTTGCCTACGAATAAGGTCCGCCATTTTGTTGCAATTTGCAAGCTGAAGGCTGAAGCTGGCTGACAAGTTGTCGAAAGACTTTGTCCCAGATTTTTTTAGGATGACAATAAGACAAAATGAACTTATTCTTGCGGTTGGATGGAAAGTGATGAAATATGTCAATGATAGAAAGTAACTAAAAATACAGGACTTAGAAGTCTCTAAAACATTTAATCTATCCTTTGAAACCAAGATAAAGGAAAATTATTTGTCTGATTGAATTTAACTTTTTTTTTAAACCGTGAATGGAAACTGCAAAATGTATGTGAAATTAAGAAACTGAAAGGTAAACATGGACAAACACAAGACCGATAGATTTGGCCCTTCCTTTATTTAACCATTTAAATTTGTTACCAAAATGTTATGGTCCAAATAGAATTACCCATTCATATGCACGAATGCGCCAAAAGAACGTACTTATCCTGTTTTTGTTTGACAGTTGCAAATCAACATACTTTCTTAAAGTATTAGAAAACTTTCCCCCATATCTGTTTGGCAATTGCAATCAGCGCTGCAGTATACCAACAATAAAATGAATAATAATATTACACTCTGTTGTTAACATTTTCAACTCCATATTATTTTAAATATCGTGGTTGATATTAATCCATTCTGTGTGAAGCTTTCAGATAAGAATATTTTATCTTTAATTTTTATTAAAAACTACTGTACATTTGATGCAGAAAGAATACTCTTATATTAATTATCTTTCATTTTTCTCTTGAAGTAGTCAAGGGTGGAATCTAACTAAATTATATGTGAAAATTATATTTTATACTTATTTGTAACGAGTGCGATAGTATTCGGTAATTCACACCATAGACGTATATATATATGTAAAGAAAAAGACACATGACTGTAAGAAAATCTGGTGAGTGGGTTGGAGTAGCACAAAAGTGTGATAAAAGGAGCAACCTTGAGCTCAGAGATAGATAGAGAGAGAGAGAGAGAGAGAGAGAGAGAGAGAGAGAGAGAGAGAGAGAGACAGAGAGAGACAGAGACAGAGAGACAGAGAGACAGAGAGACAGAGAGACAGAAAGAAAGAGAGAGAGACAGAGAGAGACAGAGACAGACAGACAGACAGACAGACAGACAGACAGACAGACAGACAGACAGACTGGCAGGAAGGCAGGCTGGCAGGCTGGCAGGCAGACAGACTAAAAGAGACAGACAGAGATAGACAGACAGAGATAGACAGATAGACAGACAAATAGACAGACAGACATTAAACAGACATACAGACAGAGACAGCAGACAGACACACAGACAGACAGACAGACATACACCTAACCAACTGTTTTTTCAGAAAGAAATTGTCCACCTTGAGTAGAGAAAAACAGAAAAAAGCTGAATGAGCCCTGTTTGTGACTACAAGCCTCTTTGCATTATGAAGCTTCAGATATAGCCTCTGGTATAGCCCATATCAAATGGAGTCATCCATCATTTCAATCGGGGGTGGGGGGAGGGTCTTCAGAGCTGGCATGCAAAAAAAGTATCAAAGAAGTGGAAAGTGGTTTAGTTTTTTAAAGTTTTAGTAATTGTTTTACGGCACTTGCAACACAATAAGGTCATATACGTGCCGGAGATTAGAGGTGTTACAAGAGAGTAACAAACACAAAAAAGAAGGAGGAGAGATAAAGACGATAGATGCTCGATAGGAAAGAAGAAGCAAACCACACCAGAGCACCCGCCAACCACCCACGTGAAAAGTGGAAGGTGGGTGAGGGGGTGGGGGGGGGAAGTACTTATGTCGCGTCGGACATATTACACACACACATACACACACACACACACATAAACAAACCGTGATATTATGGTGAGTAATAAGCCAAGTTGCGATAAGTGCTATTTATATACACGCGCGCTGTCAGCTGTAACGTAAGCAAGAAGCGTGCAAGAATACTTTTCAAAACCTAAAATTAAACCCTTAAAAAAAAAAACCCCGACGAAACCCAGTGGGAGTTCGATCTACCTATGCCAGGAGAGCCAGAAGACGCAGAAACAAGTCTCCCCGGCCTGTGCTGGGTGGGCGTTGGCGTGAGTAGCAGAGCAAGAAGTGGGTGGTTGGTACACAGCGATGCTAGGGCGAGCTTAAAGTGTGTGGTGTGTAATGTGTAGCAGCGGACACAGTGATGGTGCTGAGTGCATACCACCAAGACGCTGTGTCACGCTAGGCCTAGTGTGTAATGTGTAGTGTGTAGCAGCAGACACCTTGCCGTGCTCAGATACAAAGGCGTTGACATAAATATAATGGTTAGAGGCTGTCACGTCCATATCGAAAGTCTTGCTATGACGTCATCCGACAGCAAAGTCCCATTGGGGCCAGAGAGACAGAGAGAGAGAGAGAGAGAGAGGGAGAGAGACAGACAGACAGACAAACAGACAGACAGAATTAGGGAAGTAGAGAGAGAGGGGGGAGAGAGAATGAAAAGAGAGAGAGGGAAAGAGAGAGAGAGAGAGAGAGAGAGAGAGAGAGAGAGAGAGAGAGAGAGAGAGAGAGAGAGAGACAGACAGACTCAAATAAACGTTCCTTCTCTTTC